ATATCGAAAAATCTATTGCGATATAATTATTTGACACCTAAAGCTCTATCATGGTCATCATCATCATCATCAGTCTATATCCACTGTGGCTATTCTTCCCTTAATTTTGCTCTGTCTGATGTCTGTCGGAAGTACGCATCAATGTTGATTTGTTACTGTGTATATTTTAAAGACTGAAAACCCTTGAAAAAGAAACTGATAAATAGTGACTGAGTTTCTTGCGCTGCTTCTTCTCAGCACTGGCCCATTTATTGTCCCGAAGCAGTGGTAGGGTTAATACTGGGACGTGTTTTTACACAAAAAACACTTTTGTGCTTTTTAAAAGCCTACTTGCAAAAATAAAATGAGTTTTATTATGTCATAGACATAGTTTGTGGTCATTAAAACTATATATTTATCAATACCATAATAATAAAAGCGAAATAGTGCGTGAGTGTTCAATTATTACAGTTATTATTAGTAGTTACAGTTGTGTAATCTCTTGTGAATAATTAATAATTATAAATAAACACTGGCACTACTTTCCCGTCTAGAAACGCTAATTGTGGAACCAACAACGATAATGGAATACATAATGCCATTCATTCATACTAATATAAAGCTGAAGAGTTCGTTTGTTTGTTTACATGAACGAGCTAACTCAGGAACCGATTGAAAAAAATATTTTTGTGTTGCCCATTTATTGTCCCGAAGCAGTGGTAGGGTTAATACAAAGACGTGTAGAATACGGGACTATTCCCACCTCTCGTTCCCACTACTGCAACTCCTGTGTAGCCAGGATCTACAGCTTGACCGCCATAAAAACCCAACCAATGAAGGTCAAGTTTGTCCCGGGGGAAAGTTAAACTGTCATTGGACCCGCAACGAAATTAATCAGAAGAACATAGGAGGAGAGGAGAATTAAGGTTCGACTTCCCTCCATTGCAAAGCGGATGACAGGGGACAAGTAAAGGTCGGGACGTATAAAAGCCTACTTGCAAAAATAAGTGAGTTTTGTGAGTTTTTTTATTGAGGAAGGCTGAAGAAGGAGAAGGAAAATTACATCGCCCTACAACCAATAGGGGCGGAGCAGTAAAGGAAAATGTTGCAAAACCGGGAAATATTATTCAAACTATACATATATTTTCACGCGTACGAAGTCGCATGCACAACTAGTTCGTGTATATGTCAGATACGCTGTTTTGAATGAAGGAAATAAATAATAGAACATAATACATGTTGTCGTTTCGTAATTTATGCTAAAATATACGACGAATACACATTCGGTTCGTGAATAAAAAAGACACGCAAGTTGTGTTTCCTCCCGGTAGAAAGTTGATGTTAAAGCATCCTTATGGCTAAACTAATCGGAAAGAAATTCTGATTTTTATACTAGTTTTACTGATTCATAATAAGGTTGTTTGAAATGGCTGACTAGCTACCACCATCTTACCTAAAGTCTGTCGCCATAACAACAATGTTAACAGCATTATTGTGTTCCGGCAGTTAAAGAAAGAAAGAAAGAAAGAAAGAAAGAAAGAAAGAAAGAAAGAAAGAAAGAAAGAAAGAAAGAAAGAAAGAAAGAAAGAAAGAAAGAAAGAAAGAAAGAATAATTTATTTGGCACATAAAAAAAGAAACAATAAATCAGCACAATAAAATGAAAATATAGAATAAAAATAACAATAATAATACTTAACAGTTAGTGGTAAGATAGCCAGTCCCTCTGTGGTTGAGGATTCCGGGTGAAGCTCGCTTCCACCTTCGGCGTGATCATCACTTACCATCAGGTGAGATACAGGCCAAGAGCTTCCCCGTTGGGGATAAAAAATAAAATTATATTCATCTTCATTTTAGTCATTGCTGAACATAGGTTCCTGTAGTATTTTATGATCTCCTACAGTTCTAACGTTTTTACTGAGTCAGTGTCTGAGGAATGGTAGCGGCACGGGAGGGTGTTTTTGTAACGTCAAACTTTAGCGAGACTATGTGAATCAGAGGTGGAATTGTGTAAAGCAATCGTAATCATTTGACAGTTCATAACGTACGATAAAGTCAGTTAAACAAAGCGTTTGACAGAATAATCGTACGTTATGAACTGTCAAATGATAACGATTGCTTTACACAATTCCACCTCAGACTTGTATGCTCTGTCACGTCATCTGTGTCACCCCTCCCGCGCCGCTCCCATACCACAGGCATAGACTTAGTTGTGCTAGACTTGTAGCTGTCAACTAGTGACCGACCGAATATTCGTTTTCGTTTTCGTTTTCGGCCATTTTCGGCCAAAAAAGGCACATTCGGCCATATTTTCGTTTTCGGCCAAAAACCAGCCGAAGCTTCGGCCAAACCGAATATCAGAAATTAATGAATGAGACGGTGACGTTTATCGTTCCGATATCTTCGGGAGTGAATCTGGTGCACTCATGGTTCCAATTAGACTTGAACGGACGCGGTATTGTCTCACTCTTTTGAAGATGTGAAGTGAGGTTACGTTGTAGAGGGTGTCCAGCGAGAATTTTCCAAGTTCAAAAATGAATACAAATAAAACCAAAGAGTTTTCATTAAGCTTAATTGTTTCAAAATAGAGTCTAATGCGGATTTGAAATACGCCATGAGTCACTGGTCGGGAGCCTACAGAGCGTTCGCAGATGAGCAATAAGTATTTGAAATGTAGTGTCGAATGATCGACGAATGTCTGATACCACAACTGCAACTGCATCCCGGTCAACTACGTAACTATTTCAGCAAGAAGGTGTCTCACCGCACACGGAGAGTACCTCGATGGAGACACTGACGACTTTTTTTTTTCAAATAAATGATCAGCAAGTACAGGGACATGTATACCCTAGCTGCCTCGGTCACCAGATCTCACACCATGCGACTTTTTCTTGTGGGGGTATCTCAAGTCAAAAGTTTACAGCAAACAATCATTAAATAATTCAGGTTCTGTAAGAAAATATCTGCCGTGAAGTTGCAGGAAAATTATTAGCGCGATTTGCTCTCGCATAGTTGCGAATGTAAGGGTCCGGCTGTGAGAGTGCCTATAGTAAAACGGGCATCATTTAAAAGACGTTGCCTATAAAAAATTAAATCCGCATTGTTAAACTCCAGTTTGCATTAGTAATAAATAATAAAAAATCATTAATTTATTTGCATTCCTTTTTGAAGTTGAAAAATTCCCACTGGACCACACTGGACACACCCTTTATTTCTTCTTCACTTCCCAATATTTTAATATACACCGGAAATAATATTCTACTAAGAATTCATAATAATTTTTATGTGTTTTAATGCCACTTTTTTTAATCAATCCTTATCAAAATCAACTGTCAAATGTCATTCTGTTTTTGGTCAAAACATTAACGGTTTTCAAAGATTTTACATAATTTCAGATTGAAATTTGAGAGTTGAAGGTCATTTTCCTTTTCGTTTTCGTTTTCGGCCGAAAATGAGACTGCAGCCGAAGCTTCGTTTTCGTTTCCGTTTTCGGCTGAAAATTCATATTCGGTCGGACACTACTGTCAACATAAAAATCTAAAATACCACACATACTACTAATTAAGGAGTACGTGCCCAAACAACTGCACGCAGGAAGATTTATTGATTTATTGACAACGCCACTCTTGTGGCGGAGTTTTGGGCTTGGTCGACACGACAAGAAAAATTACGAAGTGATATACACCACTAAATTTTTATCACCGAAAAAATTAATTCTGGGTAATGAGTTATTGATACTGATCCCATTTGTGCAAAAAAAAGAAGTTAAATAAAGTGACTCAAAATTTCCTCCGAAAATTGGTAATTTATGGACACATGCGTCGCTAGCACTATTTACGTACGATAATGTAACACTTATTAGAATTCAGAATGGTCTAAGTTAGCTAAGTATGTAATAATAACACTGGAAGCTTTGTCGAGGCGTGAGCGAGACAGACAGATCGATGCAACGTGCGAGAGCGTACGACTACTCTAGCGAGCAGCGGAGTGACAAAGCTGTGACGCGTAAAATACGGACTAAGGGAAATTTAATAAAAAAAATAACTTTATGAAAAACATTTCTTTTTCTTTTGCTTTAAATATTTCACACGTTTCTACATAACCTGTTAAAAATTTTTCGGTGATAAAAATTTAGTGGTGTATAAAACAACATTTAAACTACTTCTGAAATAAGGAAATTATTAAAAAAGAACTTGGAATGTTTTACGTAACAAAAAATACATCACTTCATATAACAAAACGTGCAATTATAATTGACATAAATGACTATGACATGACGTGTGATTATTGTTATAGATGACCCACGCTGAACTGTCCCACCAAACTCAATGACAGGGGGGCGCTACCATCGTTCAACTTTATGGTTTCTAACATGGCAAAAATCGGAACCAGCGATTCGGTATTGACGGTGGCGCCCCGCTGTCAATGTCATCGATAGGACAGTTCAGTATTTTGGAACTATAGTATTATTGACATATTAATGTACTTTATGAACGCTCAACATTGTGATTGATGCTTTAAGTATTAGTTAGACACTAATCTGACATCTTTTTAGTACCGATTTATTTTATTGACGTTGACTGAATAATAATTAATAAAAAATAATTGCCCTTTTGTTCCTTTTCAAATAAAAAACAATTGAATAGAAGTATAGTAAGCATAAAAAACTGTTGAAATCGTTTGCGTATAAGACAAAATTCGATACATTCGTGACATTTCGACTATCAAAATTAGTTTCGGGCTACCGTTTCTCATAATAAGTTCACTTTACGTCACATTCACAGGGACGCTGTTCAAAGCTGGGCTGCACCATCTTATTTTAACTTTGAAAAACGTAAAAATCTTTCAAACTCCATACAAAAAGCACCGGTTATCGTAATAGTTACCGTTAAAGTTAGGTGGTGCAACTCAGCCTTAGTTTTTATACTAAACCTTTCGATGGCGATTTGAATACGCAAACGATTCGAAGTCGAAAGTTAAAGGATGTATTTTACAAACAATTGAATAACCAGACTTCTCTTTTTTTCCAGATTCAAGAAAACTCTTCGGAGGATATAGAATAACACCATCACACTGCAAAGCATCAAGAGCCGCCAAGTACAACAGAGGCAATAAAATATGCATGTTCAACCACGAATGCGTGCAACGAGGAGGCGAAGTGGTGGGCACTTGCATGGACGGCTTCTTATTTGGGGCTTGCTGCCAACTAAAATCTGACAGCCAATCCCACATCCCCAAAGGCCCAGGCGTGGTCATGACCAGCTACTTAGATTATCCAGATGCAGAAACCGAAACAGACGATTATGACTCCGATCAGCTCAGCGCACTTCACAACAGCTTCAGACCCGTCGTGACCCCAGGATATAGACCTGGATTCAGCAGCCAAGTGACGATCACACCAGATGTTAAGACAACCGAAGCTATGCAGCAAGAGATGATCTCTGAAGGCTTTAATCAGATCACGAACTCACTTCTGCATTCGCCTCCTAAGGATAATAGTATTTTTGGAAAACCAGTCAAACCTGAAGACATATACAGCCACAGTTCAATAGACCATAGCGTAGCTGAAACGATACTCTTGAACGAGAACGGTTCGGTTGCTGAAAATGTCGTCAGACCTTCAGATTTTAACGTCCAAATATCGTCAATGCAAACCAAACCAACTGTGAGCCCTATATCTTCAACGCCGACCTCGACGCCTAAAACTGTGTCCACACATCATCCTGTATATACCAAACCAGGATTTAAACCTAAGCCAGGTAATAAAAATACCAGTAAAAACCCGTCAACAGAAAACTACGTCATGGTGTCAACAGTGACGAAAGAAAGCCAGAAGATTACTGAACTGTCTTCAATTGACAGCATAATTCAAATGCTGAACGATAGCACTCCGAGCATGAAAGAAGAAGCCACATCTCCAGCATCAGTAGACTTGGATATCATAGAGAACAAATCTTCACCTGGCCCTACTGGAACTGTAGCTCCAATCTCATACAGCAGTGGTTACCCGAGCTACTATTCCTCAACAGGACATTACGTAACTATAAACCCAACTCCAAACCCCTCGACTTCTTACTCAAAGCCCTCCTTTACCACAAAGAGGCCTTATACCACACCTAACAGTATACCACAAGGTGACAAGCCTACTAGCAAACCTTACTACTCATCCCCTAGTCCTAGTCAATCAACTAGTCAAGCTATAGAAGCTTTTAACAGATATCCTACCGATCCGAATAACTTCAATTCTTTGACAACGTTTAGCTATGTAAGTTCTAGCACAACAGTCGCTCCCACCACTACTTCAAGAAGACCACCGTCTACTAGCTACGTCACTGGTGCCAAACCATTGAGAAGACCTGTCACACCACCGACGAAGATCGTTCCAGGTTACGACGTAGCTCCAGATACATTCTCAAGTGTAACTCCAACAGTAATTGTCCTAAATGGCTTCCAAACGTCAAAACCAGAAACATCAACAGAAGAAAAGGAACCCCAGTTTGTAGAAATATCTCAAGAACCCTTTAAGAAACCCGTCAGTCAAATAACAGTTAATAACCACATACAATCGACCAACAATATCTATATGGGTAAACCGCCTCAGACATTCGAAAGACCGGCCTCTCCTACAGTAGTTATAACTCCAAAACCACCTCCAGTAACCAGTCCATACCCTCTCAAAGCTTCGACGAAGCCTCCAACAGTATCAACCAGTCCCTTCCCAGTTTTTGACTCATACACAGAATACTACGCACCGACGACCTTCAAGCCTGAACTGCAGACGTCTCCAGACGACCTGATCAACTTCCCACCGGTTAGAAATCCTATGCTGAACGCTACAGGGTCTAACCCAGCCTTATACAACACTAGCATCGCATTATCCGACAATTCAGAGGAACTGCTCCACGATGTTGAATTCACGACCCCTACATGGCAAGAAGACGAGAATCTGAATGAAAAAATGAATCTATTCGTTAACAAGATCGTCGGATCTCTTCAAGGGACCTTCCAGGAACTGCATGACATTGTAATATTGGACAAAAAGCCAAACGCAACTAGGTTTACAACTCCGAAGCCGACCAAAAAGACTACGACTTCTAAAAGGCCGTTTTTGACGTCCAAAAAGCCGGTCAGGGTGACTACAACGACGACGAGAAGGCCGACAGTGAAGACGTCTAAGAAGCCGACAAGGCCGACAACTGTGGCTTACAGAAGGACCACTACCACTACACCGCCACCAACTACCACGACCACTAAGAAACCGGTAAGTTAGTTTTTATCACCTTGTGATAGCTGAGCGACAGTCATCTGTAACAATACTAAATTAATTCATGAAACTACTCGTTTTGGCCTACTCCAGAAATAAATAGAGATGGAAATTTAAAAAAGTATTAACGTAAGTACTTATTTCGTACTAAAGTGCTTCACTTGCTTTAAATACTGAAAAACTGAAATCTTATTAATAATCTCTAATATCTCTTAATATAATAATATTTAGTTAAAGAATTTTCACTAGTTTTTTTACGCTTCTAGCTTCTACCTTATTCACTTTCAATTATTTGTCTGTCTGACTATGACTAGTCTACTCGTATTAAATCTTAAATTAAGACTAAGAGTAGGCGCACACCGTTGATTTTTAGTTGGCCGATAGTTGTGCCCGATTTTAATTTTTATGAAGAATCGGCCAAATCGAATCGGCGTAGTGTGCGCACTCCCTTACATGCCCATACTGATCAACTGCCCGACTAAACTATCGGCCGACGAAAAATCAACGGTGTGCGCCTACTCTAAGAGTACTTCCTTAGCTTATTTTTTGAAATACTACCAAAGCACCAAGCGATTCAAATAAAATTATTAAAGAAATCTGCTTCTTCCATTAGACTCAAAACTATGCATTAGTAGACCATGAGATAAATCATTATCCATGGTCTCCTTGAAACCCTCCATTGAGTTTTCATCTTCTTTAACAACTCCACGCCAAAATCAAACCAGATTCATCTTCCAGCATCAGAACAATTGTGCCTTTCCTCTGATACTCCTCATTCCAGGTCACCACCACATCCAAGAGGCCCAAGCCGAGCAAGAGGCCGATCACCACCACAGCTCCTACCACCGTCACCACCGTCACCACTGAACTGTCAGATGAGGTCACCACGGAGAGCGTGGTGTATGAACAAGTGGATTATAATGACAAGAATTGTGAGTATATTCGTTCGTTTCAGCCAAATGACGTCCACTGCTGGACAAAGGCCTCCCCCAAGGATTTTCACATCGACTGGTCTTACGTTGTCCGTATCCAGGCCAAATCAAATTTTGGTATATTGGATTGAAAATAATTGGAATTCTAAAAACAACAACACTATAAAAATGAGCTTGGCATTTTGTAAAAAAAAAACAGCTACAGAGATAGCCTAGGGTAGTGGATAATATTATGACCTATCCTCCACATTGACATTATTTTTATGAGCTGTCAAAAAGCGACTCTCCTATAGATTTTGTATGGCAATGGGAGTCCCCATTGTCCCCGTCATCTAGTCGCGAATTTTGTCAGGCATTTTTTTAATAATTAATGGTATCAATAGACTGGTCTGTGAGCACGAAGAATTGTTTCCAATGACCCCAAGCTCCCATCCTTATCGCTCGCGCGTAATTATGATGCTGTGCCGCTCGCACACTCACTGCGGGCACCCGTCGCACAGTCGCGACAGCAATACAATTACGCGCGAGAGACAAGGATGGGCAGCTTGGGGTCATTGGACAAAATTCTGCGTGCTCGCAGACCGGGCTTTAGTCGCGAATTTTGTCAGGTATTTTTTGAGTTTATAGTGTCAACTAGATACCCAAATACGTATCTATGTATCTTTCATTTCCAGTATGCGGAGTGCGTCCCCTAGTCAAAACGGGCAGGATCGTCGGCGGCAAGAACGCCAAGTTTGGGGAGTGGCCTTGGCAAGTGCTGGTCCGAGAGTCGACATGGCTGGGCCTGTTCACCAAGAACAAGTGTGGTGGCGTGCTCATCACCAGTCGGTTTGTGACCACCGCTGCTCATTGTCAGCCTGGGTGAGTATTGTTGAAAAATGTGAGTGAGTCTAAATTATAACTCATGCATTCAGAATGGGGCTCATGTATTCAGATTGGGGCTTTCGATGATTGGTCACAAAGTCCATCTGTCACAAAGAAGTGTGGGTAAATTGGTCTGATTTTTGGAGCTATACTCGTTTTGTGACTTATCGTCACAAAATTTAAGTAAATTTCGTCCCACGTTTATTTTTTTATGTAGTATGGATTGACTCATTATTAGACAATTAATTCTTATTATTCAGTGTTACCCAAGACGACTGTACTTATTATTTGCTTTTAATTTAATTTCTTGACACACGTGGGTATACGCGATAAACTTAATAATTGCTCTGTGGTTGAGGATACAGGGTGTAACTCGCTTCTACCTTCGGCCTGGTCATCACTTTCCATCAGGTGAGATGCTGGCTAAAGCCTATTCGTTGTGGATAAAATAAATATATCTTTACGTCTTTACTGCTAAAACACAAATACTGTAACCGTATTTCGTCTTTCATTCATGCTCCGGCTGTTCATACTATGAATGAACTAGAGATGCGACACAAGTCGCCTTTTCATGATCGATGTTCGGCCGAAAATTTAAAAAAGTAGAGATCTTTCATTGAAATCAACATAAATGATTTGTTTCTAGAGAGGCAGCATTCATTTTCCAAACAGTATTTAACATTGGTTCATAATATAAATTCGTATTTTTTTAAATACCCACATAAGCTTCGGCGAACTCCTTGGCTGAATAACCAATTTGGACGTTACTTACTACTTTGAATCAATTAAATACTACCGAGCTTCAGCCGATTCCATGCCGAATGCTTAAAATTAATGGACGAAAATACATTTTGCGACAGCTCTACTTCGAATCAATGAGTGGGATGGGTGGGCCACGCGCGTCGTGACATTAATTTCTGCGTACAGTTAACCTCAAAAATGTGTTATTTTGTACAGAAATATGAAGTTTTTAGCATTTATTTAGTATTTTTTTAATTATACAAGAAATTAATTGGGTAATACCTAATCTCTTTGTCAATTAATTACATCCTTAATAGATCTTAATGCTCTGTTAGCAGATCTAAGTAAACTTACAATAAAAAAAATTGAAAATGCTACGGCCTGTTTTCAGCATTTTTTTCATTATATTAATTATTTTCTGTGACATTTAGGTTGAGTTGCACCAACTTACTTTAACCGTGACTAACAACAAAAATCGGTGTTTTTTGATATGGAGTTTGACACATTTTTATTGTTGATAGTGCAACTAAACCTTACTGTTTTGCTTGCTAAGTAATCATTTGTATTTTAGTTATGTCAAATTCAAATTCTTTATTTATTTGCCAGAAATAGGTAACATAATGATGGTCAAATATACATAAAATAAAGTCCATGTTTCGCTAAATACATCTTAGCATGCAATAAAGAAAACAAGATTACAATCAATTACAGTCATGATTTTCATATTTAGTTACAGAGTAAAAGGTTTTTTGTAACAACCAGGATTTGTCAAAATAGTATCAGTAGTGACTCGAAGTAATTATTATATGACTTTTTTATTATATGACATTTGGATCTCTCCGCTATTTTTTAAGCTCGACTGTACCCCGCCCGCCCAGTCGTTTGTCTTGCTCTACCTTACGCTACTGAAAGAAGTCTTTCTCTAAAAATCAATGATAATCGTGGAATCAGTAGACTTCAGGCTACTTCTTTAGATGACTACACCGATGAAGTCTGGCCGTCTCTCTCACACTTATGGCTCTACCATAAACTATATTGAAAATACAAAATTCGTCATAATATCTGAAATTCTGGAGCGATTGTTTTGAAAAAAAATTTCGTAGGTAGATTTTTGTGTCCTTTTCTTTTGCTAACAATTTCGTAGAGATGTGTCCAATTGTTGCTGAGAAATAAAATCTTGAAGGTAAATTCCTGAATCGCGATGTTGAAGTTTTTGCTCGCGCTAAGTATATAAGGAAAATATCCGGGTATGCTATCGGGAGGTCCGTAGCTACGCCGTAAGCCGGATTTGGCAGGGATCCGGTCTAAGTCCCTGCCTAAATATATGTTGAAGCTCAGCAATTCATATATGGTAAAATAAAGGCAGATACACAGAAAATGAAATAAAGAGAGACTCTCTGGTCTCACCACCACGTGCGTAGCTGATTTGACCGCCCTTTTTGCTTTTGTAAAAAGTAAATTATTAAGTTTTTTTCACTGTAAAGTGGTTTCGCGCTAAGTCCGTTACATTTGCATCAATTTTATTATTTCTTACGTTTCACAGTTTTACGAGTATATCAAGTAACGTTTAATTTTACGAATACATCGATTTCGTTCTTTCTTGTGTTCACCTTACACTAACTTTTTCTTGCGACTTCGCCTGCGTGATACTTATTATTATGTTAAGAAATTCTGTAGCGCGCTTCTGCCATTCAAAAACCGGGATATATAAGGTATCCTATGTTTTTCTGCTTGACAAATTTTTGATTGTATCTGTGCTGAGAAGAAACGCCGGAACCAACTCAGTCACCACTAGTTGCCAGTAATTATCTAACGGTAAAAATAACCAAATTCAAGTACATCAAACATGGTGCAGACTGAACTGACCACGCATCCTTGTCATCAATATAGTCTCGAACCTTATAGTTTGACCCTTTGGACATATTATAAGGGTATTTTTTAATATGTATCTTTTTAGGTATTTATTGGCAACTAGCTTTCCGCCCGCGGCTTCGCCCGCGTGGAATTTTGTCTGTCACAGAAAAACTTTATCGCGCGCGTCCCTGTTTCAAAAACCGGGATAAAAACTATCCTATGTTCTTTCCCAGGACTCAAACTATCTCTATGCCAAATTTCATCAAAATCGGTTGCGAGGTTTAAGCGGGAAAGCGTAACAGACAGACAGACAGACAGACAGACAGACAGAGTTACTTTCGCATTTATAATATTAGTTGGGATTCGGCAAGGTTGTGTGGTATCTTGTTATATGTATGTGGTAATACATTTCCCCAAGACACTTAGTATGTCTTCCAGTCCGTGGTCGCCTCCGAAATCATCTCTACGAGCTATGTGCCCCGCCCATCGAAATTTTTCGGCGGGCTATGTCAATTCCTTTGGTTTTCCTGCAGTGTGTGCATCATCACCATCATCTCAGCCATAGGACGTCCACTGCTGAACATAGGCCTTCCCCAATGCTTTCCATATTGCCCAGTTGGTAGCGGCCAGCGTCCAGCGCCTTCCTGCTACCTTTATGATGTCGTTGGTCCAGCTTGTGGACGTCCCACGCTGCGTTTTCCTTTACGCGGCCTCCACTCCAGAACCTACTGCCCCATCGGCCGTCCGTTCTGCGTACTATGTGCCCTGCCATTGCCACTTCAGCTTGCTAATCCGTCGGGCTATGTCAGCGACTTTAGTTCGTTTACGTATCTCCTCATTTATGATTCGATGTCGTAAAGAAACACCGAGCATAGCCCACATCTCAAAGAAAAAGAAAGAAAGAAAGAAACAATGTTTATTTGGCACCAAATTACATGCACTTTCTCAGATAAAAGATAAGGAGACATGTAAAGTGCCCCATAAGGGCTACCTTTTCTTTTTTATTCTTATATTTTGACGTTCATAGTGCCACTGGTGGTCTAAACTGAATAAATATTTTTGATTTTGATTTAAATTTGATTTTTTCACATGTACAAACGTTATTACTTCCAGCTTCCTGGCATCCTTAGTAGCGGTCTTCGGGGAAAACGACATAGCCAGCGACAAGGAGGCACGACGACCGGTGTCGCGGAACGTGCGTCGTGTGATCGTGCATCGGCAGTACGACGCCGCGACGTTTGAGAATGACCTGGCGTTGTTGGAACTGGAGTCGCCTATCAAGTTCGATGCTCATATCGGTATGTTTGAAAGATTAACTTCTTTTTTCATATGGGAAATGCATGACCCATATGAGCCAATGTACACGAAAGGTTGCGGCAGTGCGATGCCAAAACGGTGTCGCCGCGTCATCTTACAAAGAAATATCTATAGCGAGCACACGAACGGTGCGACTCCGCAACGTGATTTGGCTCTATACACTCGCACAAGAAGTATTGAAAAGTTCAAGCTACATACATTCTATAAAAATGCAATGGCTATAACATATTAATTATAACTTTTAACGAAAATATAGTAGAAATGACAACGTCTGCGTACATTACCTACTCATAAAATCTTTCAACTTTCATTTGTTTCAACCAACCGCCGTCCACCGCTGGCTTCAAGGATATTTTAATCATGTTTGGACAAAAACCTTACAAAAGTCAATTCCCAAACACTAACTTTGCATTTTTATAACAATTACCTAATTTGGAATTTTTGTAACAACAATAGCTGTAACGAATATAAAAAGTAAATACCTACATGAGTACGAATCCCAGCCAAGACAGGCGTCTTTTTGATAGGAAAAATTATGTTTGCCTTATTTGTAGTATCTAACATCTTAATGTTTCCTTTCCAGTACCAATCTGCATGCCTCCAGACGAGTCTGACTTCACTGGTCGCATGGCCACCGTGACTGGCTGGGGCCGCTTGAAGTATGGTGGCGGGGTGCCGGCAGTACTACAGGAAGTACAGGTAAATCCCATTATAGATCAATACTTCAGGGCCATACTATATATTGAATCTTGCCATAAAAATAACCTACTTAAAGTCCTTAAACCGCCTCAAGAAACGCCTAAAACCAAGAGGTCCTGGGTTCAACAGTGGGGATAAAAATGGTGCAGCTCTTTTTCACTTTTGGCCTAATCATAATTAAAACTCATAAAACTCATTTATTTTTGCAAATAGGCTTTTAAAAAGCACTTTTACACGTCCCAATATTAACCCTACCACTGCTTCGGGACAATAAATAGGCCAGTGCTGAAAAGAATCAGCGCAAGAAACTCAGTCACTATTGTCAGCCTCCTTTTCAAGGGTTTACAGTCATTTTCCATCAAGTGAGAGCAGCCCAAGAACTTATTCATTTATTTATTTATTTCATTTGTAATACCAAAGAACATAAGTGGAACTTAAGCGAGCGTTCGTTATGGATAAAGACAAGTCTTGCCAAAAGGACCTACATCCTATTTCGGTCAAGACTTGCCAAAATACGAATAAGTCCTATTTATGTATATTTTTTTAAACACTACATATTTGGATTGAATCTTGCCACAAAATAATTAGGTCATAATAATTATCTTGCCATAAAAATGATCTATTTTACTTACAGACTATTTGGATCGAGTCATGCCATAACAAGAGTCTAGGTATTTAAATGAATAAATATTTTTTCTCATACTATAAATATCGGTTAACGGGACTGTTCCCACCTCCGTTCCCACCGCTGCAACTCCTGTGTAGCCAGGATCTACAGCTTGACCGCAAACAACCCAACCAGTGAAGGTCAAGTTGTCCCGGGGGAAAGTTAAGCTGTCATTGGTCTCGCAACGAAATCAGAAGAACATAGGAGGAACGCTATATTGGTTACCTAAAGACTACAGATATACATATAAGGTTCATATTCCACTTTCTTTTCCAGGTGCCGGTGATAGAGAACAGCGCGTGCCAGGAGATGTTCCAGACGGCTGGCCACGCGAAGAAGATCCTCAACTCCTTCATTTGTGCGGGATACGCGAACGGGCAGAAGGACTCGTGTGAAGTGAGTAGTTGAGTGGCAAGTGATTTACGCCCATATTTACAAACGTTACTATGAGGTCTCACAGTGCGCGTGAACGAACAGGGTGACACACGAACCCATCACAGAGCTCTATTATTTGCTGCTTCACATAAGCAAGCATCGTTTGTGAATACGGGTACGTAAAATATTTTTGCAAGCTCAGCTCAAGCCCTGTTGGTAGACAAATTCGTAAAGTATTTTTCTTTGAATTTATGCAAGACACAATTACTGCTCTTTAGAGCAGTTAATTTAATTTTTTTTTTAATTAAATTTTTACCCAGGAAAACCAAATTTATTATGAACAAGATCTGAAAATTAACTAATAACTAATATCATTTGACGGCAAAATTCCTAGTCACATATTTTATTGATTTATTGTTAAAGATTTACCAACAATTGATGTTGTTGGTAAATCTTTAACAATAAATCAATAAAATCAATCTAAAAGATTTTGATTAAGCTTGTGAAGAAGGAGACTTGTAGAAGAGTGTGTAGAAACATTGGGTCTACATCAGATCTATAATAATAAGTTTTTGACAGTGCGACCCATAATATCTCATCTTGAAAACATTTCAAAATAATTTTGCCTATTGTCTTTTTATCAGACAATCCTACCAAAGTTCCTATGATAATAGCCGACTACTGTAAGGTTTTAACAAGTTTTATGTGCAAAATACTTTTCCTTCAAGGGCGACAGCGGTGGACCCTTAGTACTGCAAAGAGAAGACGGCAGATGGCAGCTGGTAGGCACCGTCTCCCACGGCATCAAGTGCGCGGCGCCCTTCCTTCCTGGAGTGTATATGAGGACTACATTCTACAAACCCTGGCTGAAGAGCATCACGGGAGTACACTGAGGGTTGGTTTAGTGGTTGAGGTTACCAGAATCGTGCTTGGACTACAATCATCAGGTATACATAGAAGATTGATGAGAGTTTTTCGATTGATTTAGCCAGAATTTTTCAAAATATAGTGAGAATGAGACTACTTGGCACGAGAGACAACCGCTTAAGAGGCTGTTAAATTAAAGGTTCGATTCCTGGCGATCGCTAGACTATACATAGTAGAAAACTTGGAGATTATTAGTAATTTCTATAGCACAAAATAGGTACTGACAGTCTTCAAAAAGCTTTTGTAGAGAGATAATTATAGGATCTTCGTCATGCCTCATGGGTAGGGCCATTAAAAAATTAAGCTTGTTGGAGACGTCTTATCAAAATAATGCCAAGTAAGTTTTTAAACGGATTTATGATGATTGTAGTCCAAGCTATAAAAACCGTAAAGAAACCGGAATCTCGCAAAGAATACGGATTTTCAAAAGGTGTTCCGCTGAAGATGTCAACTGAATTTTCGAAATTGTGTCATTTTATCATAATCTGTTCCATAACCTATTTCAAGGTGGCAATAAGTACACTATATTGAACCTCACTATATTGAAACCTTTTTTTTAGAAAAATCAACCCTTAGCTACAAAATTGTTGAAGTCATACTCTTATACTTCTCCAAGAGACTTTACATAGTGAATTCAATTCTTATCTACAAAAATCTACTATATTTCAAAAGAAGTCTCGTAATGAAAAGGTGTGCGTCTTTTTCACCTAAATTATTGTTGGTGGTTGGATGGTGGCTGAATATAGCTACTACTTATAAAAATATTTTGAACTATATTCAGATGAAAAAAAGGTTCAAAACCTGTTGAAAAAAATATGTACTGGCCAAAATGGCTGGTTACCTGTGGCCAACTGATTAAATTTATTTAAATCCGTCCATCACACGATATTCGATTCGATATGTATTTGGTCAAGACTTTATGTAAAAAGTATTATCAAATTATGTTAAGTAAAACTGTAAAAATATTATTCGTAACGCTTGAATAATAATATATTAAATCAAATTGGACATACAATTTATTAAAAACTTTATATGATTTTTAATAAATTTGTGGCAGTGACTAAATTATATAAAATTATACATTCATCAAAGCTCTCTACTCAAAAAATTATATATCAAAATGTAAAAATGCTTATAGGTGTTTTAAAAACCATAAAATGTTCCAATAAAATGTAATATAAAATTACATAGAGTACCGCAATTGTTATACTTTGTAAATTAATGCATTTATTTATTGAAGTTAATATAGCAAATAAATTAGTTTAAAATATGTTTCATTGTTATCGAATGACTGTATTTATATGAATAATATTTAAATAGAAATGTAAATGTTACATAATTAAACATACATTCATAAGAATTTGCTCAAGGTAAAAAATATATTTTTTGAAACAATGTTAATATGTTAAAAATAACTAAGCACTGTAATTTTGTAAAATAAAACATAAAGTTACATTATAACTACACAAAAACTTAAGAAAACTGTATCAAAATAAACTTAGTTAAATATTTTAAGTTTAGTTTTTGTCCATACCAATAATGTGTAGAATGAATGTATGAAAGCTCAAAAGTAGATTTAAGTAGAAAAATGTTATTGACTGTTATGCATTTATAAATTAAAAAAATATTTTAAGTAAGTTGTGACTTTTATTGATGCTCAAATTGATCGTTCTTAACAAAAAAAAATATTTAACAACTATAAAAAAGGGCAGTAACATTTGGACAGCTTTGAAAAACCACTAGGATTTATGTACGTAGGGTTACCACAAAAATAATACAACTTTTTAGCTTGCTTCATGGAACGTATTTATTGCACATAAGAACTATTCTACATTATACAAGTAACCTATTTTGTGTCATTTATACATGTTTTATTCAAGAAACGCTTAGATATTATATTTAATTAACAATAAACATTTCAGGTAACATTTTATTTAGTTTTTTGGTTAAATATTTAACTTTTTTTAGGATTATTTGGTATTTTTATTTACTTATTTCTCTACTTGCATTATATTTTATACATTTTATATAATTTTAAATGTTTTATTGATATAGCACAGCAGTACTAATTTAGATGTAAGCCTACTGTATACTAAAACATAAAAATATAGTAGGTATACAATATTGAATATTATTATAGTGAATCATCGAATTTTAAGGGGTTAGTATATTTATTGACCAATGCTTCAAAGTTTTTCATGGAATATGCGCGAAGTCTTCAAAACCATTTTCACTATCTCATTCTAAAATTCGGAAAATTAATTTTTTTAAGCTAAATGATCAGATTGTTATGTTAGATACCCCTTAAAATTTCATAGGTTATTAACATAGAAGTGGATACCTATACGGTATATTTAAAATAAAAATATTTTTCCCCTTGTGCTAAAAACTTAAAATCTATTTACGTTATTTTATACAAAGAAATATTTTCTTTTTTTTTTGCTTTTGCAGAAAACAAAAATCTTCTTTATTTTAAAAAGATCATGAACTAAAACTTAGTATAATTATATTATTTTTTTCAGTAGCATTTATACTAATTCAAGCTTTTTATTCAGTTTTTTTTATAGGAATAATCACAATAATGCGAAGCAATATTGAATAACAGACTATAATTATTATCTACTTAACATTTTAAAATGATCATAATATAGATACTATATCACCGAAGGACATTACATAAATTCGTCCTTTGATTTTATTCTACTACAAAATTACAATTAATTTTAAAATCTAGGCCAATAATCAAAAATAATATAATGATTATTACTGTTACACACTACAATTGAATACTTCAAAAATATGTCATAGTGCAGCGTTTGTATGCCTTTTCTATACGACAATAAGATCATTTATTATTTCGTATTAACTATAGTTGTTATCAAACTAAATGTCCTACAAAATCAGGTCACAAATTAATATATTTTGTTATATAAATAAAAATATATTAAATAATTTGTAGACTTTAGAATACCTACCTACATTAGTGCACTATATTCTCAGAAGTATTCAATTCTAGCAAAATATCCATTACCACTTTATTGCCATGTTACACATTGTCCTTACTTGCTAATTTTACCTTTGTAATGCAAGCATTTTTTGCAAATAGCATCAGCTTTATCCCTAATAGATAACGTCGACATAGCTCTTTCAGATTCTGGCTTAGCGTCCTCTGATTCGAAAGGGCCTTCGCTAAACTGCTGGATCAACTTCTTAATGTAACTACCAGGACCTTTAATAGTCAGTTTAGCGTTGAAATCGTCAGGTTTCTCTTCCTCAATATTATTATCACTAGTGCTTGTTCGTAGATCGCTCAGCATTTGCAAGCCGTCTTGAAAATTCTCAAAGGCTTGAGTTATTTTGTCTCCAATATTCAGTTTATCTTCGATATCGCTAAAAGTAACAGCTTTGGCTTCAAATGGATCATCAGCTATGTCTTTAGAACCAGTTGGAGTGATGATGATTTCGCTATTTTTCATATCAATAGTAATTTTAGCATCATTTAATTTCAATCCTGTAAGAGCTACGTCCACGGACTTAGAACGATATTGCCTAGAAGGTGTAGGGGGTACTTGCAGTTGGTTGGTATCCGAGTAAGCATCTTGCTTGATGGTGCTGCTAGAAGTCACTGGCGATGAAGACTGCGACGTTCTTTCTCCAGGACTGGATCCTAAATTTAATTTACTTTATAAAGAAAAAATGTTCGTGTTAGATTTAAGTGAAGTGATTTCTAATCCAGATTTAAAGGATGAGAAACCGTAGCTATTTAAGGACTAAGATAAAGCATTGCCTGCTGAAACCCGTCACCAAAATTGTTGCTTTATTACCTTTAGTTTTGGGCGCCAAGGATCTTTGCGTTTGCATCTAGAATCACGAAATTTAATTGGTAAATAAGTGAACAGTTTTAGACTTTTAGATTTGATACTGAAAATAGGGTCCTCAATGATTTTCAATTAAATAGGCCCACTGGAAGCGGCGTTATAAAGAAATTTTAAAGAGACTTATAATAATTTACATTTAACAGTAACCATAACTATGCAGTGACCTGTCAACGCTGTAGAATAAAATAATCCAAGTGAATATACGCAGTAGTAACATTTTAAATCTTTTTGTCAACCCCTTTTTTTGTCTAGGAAAAATTGCATTCAATTGCATACTTACCCTGCGCAAACGGACAGGGTAGGTTATATTATGTGGAGCTAACCAAGTCAGAAAGACCTGGTACTCTGTCTTTCGCATTAAGTGAGAAGGAATTGTGGGGTCCCGGACAAAGTTTTCACTACCACAGTCCCTCCCAGCGATTGCCCGCCTATACAGCGGGTCCCAGGATGACGGGATCATTGTCCACCTTAACTCAATCACATAAACACCATTTTATTCCACAGCGTTGGTAGTTGCAAGCGACCCTCACCATTAGAAGCGTCTTCCCTTTCGTCCTCACAGCACAGAGGGAGGGGCTGCTCCGCCATCATGCCCTGCACCATGTCCATACAGGAATCGAGGGAGAACATCTTCCCGCACATCTTGATGCCGCGGATGCGCCGGCGCATCTCTGTTAGTGAGCAGTGAATGGGTCATAGTGAATGGTGAATGGGTGAATGTTGGGTTAGACTTGACTTTGAACCAACCTAACAACCAATGAGGGTAGAGAAGCATTGATGATTGAACCTAGACACCCTGGGTACCTATGTAAGGTTGAAAATATAAATGTAAAATAGGTACGAGTAATTATGTCAAAACTATGACGTATATTTCCCTATTTGAGTTATCTCCTAGCAGTGTTAGCAGTAATAAATTTTAGCATTTATGAGATAGGTACATCTTCAAAAGTTTTTTTTTTTAACTTTCTTCAGGTGGAACTCGATTTTTTCAAGTATAGAAAGCAGTATAATAGAAATAGTAGGTAAGTAATCTTTTAAAAAATCAAGTCAAGTTCATATGCATGTGTTCATTTTCTTTCCTTTTGTGCAATTTGAACCGACAACCGAAGTCGTAGTATGTAGCTTAATTGTACTCAAAGGCACAAAGAAAAAGTAAATTTTTGAATTTTCTTACAACTATTTAGTCAAAGCATTCAAGTATGTTAGGCTCTGATGTGGCAATCCAACTCCGAATTCCCAAACGTAAATACGGTAATCGAAATCAAACCTTACCAGGACTATCCTTAGGTTCCATTTTGAGCTGAGCGAAGGTCTGTGCGCACGAAGTCAGGACCTGTTCATAGTCGCAGATGGCCGCGTGGGTACCGTTCACGATCTTGGGGCTCATTGGACTGTTGGCGAGGAGAAGGCTGGTGCCGAAGGTGGCGTTCAGCTCACGGGTTTCTGAAATTTAGAATATTCTATAAGTCACCTTCTGGTTGGAGAACAAAGGCTACTGACGTCAGCATAGACTGTTAGGAAAACATCAACATAGTGAAATTATTTTATCATCATCACATTAATTTCACTAAGTCTTCTACTGGACATAGAGGCCTCCCCTAATGACTTCCAGATAGGCCGGTTGGTATCAATGATATACTTAATTAGTTCTTCAACAGGGATGAAAAAATCAGCGCAATACACATCAACTACTGAGCTAATACCTAGCATTCGTTTTTAGATGGATTTCCTCACAGGAGCAGGAATCAATTTATGAATTAAAGTAAAACTAGTTAAGAAGACCAGTAGACAAAATTGACGATGAATGAACAGTTCAGAGACTGTCTCTCAGCCTTTAAGACTAATATAACTAAAATACAGGTACTTTTCAAACCAGGTACTTACCCTTCAAAGAGATCCTGGGCCTCTTAGGCACGACGATGTTTCCGTTCTCCGAGCCGAATACGTCCACGAGTATTTCCGAAGCTACTACCTTGATTTCATTCCAGTCATCTAGAACAAGATAGTTATTACATATTGAAGAATGTAACACTGCACAGAAATAACTAAGGACAAATATGAAATCTGAAATTTTGGTTCAGGCCCAGAGGACCCAGGTTAGATTCCCAGCAAGGGCGGAATTTTCAGCTCAAGTTTAATTGGTGGTAGAGCTTGTTCTAAGTCAATGGACTTCAATGTTAAGCTTTGTAGTGTTCCGGTAGTAAGATAGCCAGTTCCTCTGTGGTTGTGGATTCCGAATGGAGCTCGCCTGATCATCATTTTCCATCAGGTGAGATACAGGCCAAGATCTTTTCCGTTGTTGTTAAACAAAAATTGGTATCGGCTATATTTTGAAACGTCTTTGATATTTTAATAATATCAATACCTAGTAGGGTAAACCAGAGAGTGATTGCCCACTGGTAGTGATTGCCCGCTTTAAGAATAATATTGTCAGGTGCTGACTTTGAATCACTCTAGTTAGATTTGAATTTACTAAGTAGATGGCTCCGAGATCAATGTACAGTAGATTTAAAATTTACAATAGGAAACACTAAAAAAAAACAGTTATGGCGGATTATGTCAAGACGGGTGAAAATGTTACTCAAATAGGTAAAGACTTTAACAATTTTACTAAGGAATTACTTGCTTAGAGGTTAATTTTTTTTTGCAAGTTATTTAATATTCAACTAATGGTGTATAGTCATGATGAAATTATAAGTGTTTTCTCCATTATCAATGAAAATAACTGATAAAATTTGATTTCTAACGGTCATTTTAACGGTGGGTAATCACTGCACGTAAATCTGTATATTTTTAGTTATTGCCCACCGTCATTTCAGTTATTGCCATATGTTAATGTATAGTTATTGCCCAGGGCAATTATTATTAGAGTGTTGCCACCATGCAGTAGCAGTGTTTAAGTTGCTCATTGCTAGACTTGTTTTGCAATTTACAGGCATAAATATTTAAATGGCTTTTAATGTTTCATTTTCAGTATGCCAAAGACTCCAAAAGTTCAATATAGCATAGAAAATTTGCAAAAAGCGATCGAAGCTGTACTTGATGTATCTAACAATTTATCTACAAGATAAATTGCTGAAAAATATGGTTTGGCTTGAAAAAATTGATAAAAATTCAAACGAAAATACAAAAAATGAAAATCCTACGTTAAATCTACTAGTGAAAATGTTAATTGTAAGGAAATAGATACAACTTTAGGGAAGAATAACCAACATCAGCTCAAGAAATATTTGATAATATGTTAATAAGGCCAAACGCAATTTATTTTGAAATTTTGAAGACTGTACTACTAGAATTTAAGTTTAATGTTTTGTTTTATTTATTTAAAGCATAATTTGTCATTTTTGATTATTGATTATTTTGTTTAAAGATACTGGGCAATGACTGTGCTTTGATGTGGGCAATTAGTGTATGTAATGGGCAATGACTGTACTTTTTGGAGGATTTTAAATTTATTTCAATATTTTCTAAGTTACGTAAGTTTTAACTAAAAACTGTTAATATTCTGTTTAACAGTTTATTGAGTTATAAGAAAAAAGTCATAAATGGTCGATAATTAAAATACTTTCTTTAATTTTTCATCTCAATGAGTTTGAAATCTTTAAGTGGGCAATAGCTATACGGTTTACCCTACCTAATCATTGATGTGCTCACCCAAAATGTCCTGGTTAGTAGTCCTCTGAGAGGTGACAGTGAACCGGATCACGTAGACCCCTTTGAAGCAGGCTGGAACAGCGTGGATGTAGCCTCGAGCATTCAGCTTCTTCAAAAGACGCTCGGTTAGGGCATTGTCACCACGGAGACGGAAGGCCACCATGCCTGAGAAGAAAGTATGCATTTAAATAAAGGTTCTGGAGTGGAGGCCACGTACCGGAAAGCGCAGCGTACGACGTCCACCCACAAAGACCGACGACTTTATAAAGGCAGCGGGAAGGCGCTGGATGCAGACCGCTACCAACCGGTCGTTATGGAAATTCTTGAGGGAGGACTATATTCAGGGGTGGACGTCATGTGGCTGAAATGATGATGTTAATTAAATTGTACTTACCAAGGTTCCTCTGCTGAGGGATTTCGAATCTTTGGTCAGCCAAAACAAGTGCTTCAAACTTTTGAGCCAGACGAACACTCTGAAAAACATAAGTGGTTTTTTATACACTGAAAATATAGATGTGGATATATCAAAATCTAGAGAGAGGACTGAAATTAGATTGTGATTCTAATTCCGAAAATTGGAACCACAATGGTTTCTGGATGCAGGCAGCACAGGACCGGTCGTTATGGAAATCCTTGAGGGAGGCCTTTGTCCAGCAGTGGACGTCATTCGGCTGAAACGACGACGAAGACGACAGATATTAGGGATGTCGTGTATAGGTCTAGTCATTAGGTTTTCCGTGCATTCTGGCTAGAGTGAATAAGGGATCCGATTTTCAGAATTAAGAATCACAGTAACTGGAATTCTTAGGTACCTCACGAATGTGCTTCTGAAGACCAGCAACTCCGTAATTCCTCAATACAAACCAGAGCTTCAGTGCCCTGAATCGACGACTCAGGGGGATTTGCCAATGCTGGAAAAAGAACAAACTCGTTAGATTTCAATACACGTAAAGCTGAGTGCATTTTTTCTAGACCCTTTCTCAACCCTTTTACCAAAATATTTTCATTTAAACTACAAATTTTAAACACTTTACTGGTATGATAGTCGTAACATATTTCTGATATTTCTTTGCGCTTCAGAAATATAAAGTAAGCTTCTAGAACGTTCCCATCACCATCACTATAACTATTTGTAAGGATTTTTGGATTAAATAAACAATTTTTCGCTCTCTCTTTTACCACATTAACCAACTTAACCCAAAACCAACACCATAACCATTTATCTTGAACCATCACCGCCAAAGTATTTTCTCTTACAAGCAGCTCCTTTTTATCTGGATTCTCTAGTTGTATCTTCTCTCCACATCCAGCAGACATTTGATGGTAGCCATGCAGATCGGTCTCATCATCATCACCATACAGATCATCACCACTTGATTCATCACCGTTTGTGGTCGCATCACTATTCGGTAGAATAGGCTTGGTGTGAATAGACTCTGGGGTCTCAATTTGGTTGATTTTTGATCCATTATTTTTGATGTTGGCTTTTTCACTTCCGAGCTACGTTATGAATTTTGAATTATTATATTATTATTAATTATAAACCTAAAAAACTTATTTTGACTATATTTCTTTAGAAAATATCATTTTCAAATCATCGGATAACTTTCAAAAAATAATTGTTCGTTTTGTGAAAAATGATTCATTTATTGCCCTAATTCATTTATTGTTGTTTATAATCATAAATAACTTACCATGTAATCAATGGCTTTGCCTGTAGAAGAAAAGAAGTTTATTATTAACACAATTAAAGTAACATTTATTTTGTCTCATGATCCTAACTTTCTTGCCAAAAATTAACCTGGTGACTGTTCATCAAAACATCATTATTTTTTATTTGAAGATTTTTTCAATAACATCAAAATAATTATATATAAATCTTACCAGAATTTTCATGTCTAAGATAGATAGGGTTGACGTTGAAGGTCCTATGGAGAGCCGTACTGTCCCTAACCCTGGAAGAAGAAAGAATTCATTTCAAACATTAATTTAAAAAAATGATATTTAAAATAAAAAAGAGAAGAAGAAGAGAGTCGTTAAATTAACAACGAAACATAAAATCTTACCACATAGCAGTGCAGTCGAAGTTGACCATTAGCCACTTAGAAGGGTTGAAGGCGAAGGAATCCGCCAACTCCACACCATCCAGCCAATGACTGGAACAAAAAGACGACAGAATCACTTAATAGGAGGTCCATAGAGATAGAGATTCTTTGACACACGATTGATGTCACTAGAAAGTTTTGTTTTTCAAAGTCAGTTCAAATTATTTGTTGCAAATAGTCCCTGCTTTTATTTATGCTGCTGCAACTTATGTGTTCAAGACTGACTTAAGGTCCTAACGGCCGAATACTGAAACGCCATTTAAATATTTGACGGCTTCTCAAATAGTTAAGCAGCTCCTAAACTTACATTTCGCATACTCAAAACAATATCTGAGCAGTTCTCAATTTTTAAGCACCTCTCAAATTAAGTTGCACTCAAACGCCACTTAAATGAATTTTCGCATACTGAAACGCCATTCAACGCTAAGCATTACTCAAACAACTGTCAAATCGTCTTAAGCAGCTGTTAAATTTGAGAGTGCTTGCGCGGTATCTTAAATCCTATTCTTATACCTAAATCGACCTAAATAGTGGTAAATAATGTGTGTCATCGTTATCATTTCTTTCGAGGCTCGAGGAAATACCTAGATCTAATCGCAGGAACGCAATAATGCTGAACGCTATTGAAAAATATTATTATAATGACATGCAATTCCGAGCGAGGTTCCGCATCTCTAAAGAAACGGTGTTGTGTCTGGATTCATAATTTGGAAGCTCTTTGAAACCCCGCAACAAACGCCATACAACCAGTGGACCAAATACTTATTATAACCCTACTGTTCTACGCAACGGGAAGTTATGAACGTGTAGGTACTAGGTGATATCTTCCACATCGAACAGCCAACTGTGCATCGTATAGTGCACAAAGTAACAACCAAAATAGCTGCTATGAAATCGCTTTACATAAACATGCTTATTTCTGAGGAATAATAAGGGGACATCGCATAGTAGCATTTCCAAGAGTTGTTGATTTGTCAATTTGATGCTCTGTCTGTCAACAATGATAAATGTCAATTGTGGTTACGTTTCGGTCCACGATCGCCACTTAATAGATTTCAACAATAAAAAGTATCACCTTTAAAATTATTTTTTAATTAAATAAAAATGCAAGCATTAATTTTTTTATACGATAAAACGAGATTTATGTATAATAGAAACTAAAAATAAACTCTTGTATGTTAAGTTGATTGAGTAATATTTCCATAAAAGACAATACATAACCAAACGATGCTGCGTGTAATGGATAAAAAACTTAAAGTTATCATTTGTGTAAATGAAAACATACTTTTTTTGGTAAATGTTGCCATTATGTAAACATTTGAGAGCTGCTTAGCTGATCACGGCTTCAAATCCGTTGAGTGGCGTTTGAGAATACCATTTAAAATTGAAGGATACTTAAATTTAGGAGCCCGTCAGCTGAGTGACAGATTTGAGTAGTGTTTCAGTATTCGGCCGTATGTCCCCTAGATGAGGCAGTGGGCGTCCACAACAGTCCTACATCGCGTTCGGTCTTGAGCATCGCGTTTGATCTCGCTCCAAGTCTTGCTTAATTTCTTCGCCTCGTCGGCTATACAGTGCGCCGACTTTGGTTAGGGCGACCACGTTTGAAGTCTCTCCAAAGACTAAGAGGATGTTTAGTGAAGGCATAAGATAACTCTGTAGCAAGACTTTTCCCACCTCTTGTCCCCACCGCTGTACCTCCTGCAAAGGTACAAATATAAGTCAAAGAGTACGTACCGAAACTCAGGGCACACAAAAGCGCTGCCAGCGTAAGCAGCGTCCACATGCAACCAGGCGGAATGCCGGCGGCAGACCTCGCCGATCTCCCGAAGGCTGTCGAACGCCACCGACCCTGTGGTGCCGAGGGTTGCGCACACCTGGAATGGATGGACGAGTATGAACATGAGATATAAAGAGATGCCAACTAATGCGCAGAGTTCGAAACTCAGTGTCGCATTAGAAATTCACACACAAAGTAATCAACATAAAACAATACGTCGCGAAGAGTGTGTGTCATGCACACATCGCATTCAGTGCTGCTATTCATTCGCATACCAGGTGCAAGTAATGTACGTACAGCACCACTAGATACATACGCAGTGACGTGCGATTGAATGCATTATGTTAGTTTCAATGTGCTCATTATCCACTGCGATATCTGCCCCCCTAGACAAAACGCACTTTTTGATCGAATCGAAAATCGAATCCGTCAAAACTCCATACAAAAAAGGGGCTTTTCGACCACTTTTCGACTGGTTTGCGATTATAATTTGCACTTTGTCTAGACCCACAGTACTTATAGCCTGACCAGGAACATAAAAACCCTCGCCATGTTGCGGAAAACTAATGGTACTAATTTCTTTTAATGGCAACAGTAACTGAAAACTTCATTGACATATTGTCACCTTGCATCATTGCATGTCAGTCTATTGCTGTCAAAGTGTAAACAAACTTTATTTTAAATGTGCGCAATTGATTTTGTGAATTAAATTGCTAAAATCTTTTTATAGTCGTGAAAGAAAAGTGGTTTACAATATGTTAAAGTATTTGTCGAAGAGAAATACTAAGGGTTCGGACAATATTTTCATTGAATAATGTTTCCGACAAAGGTTGTCAAATTGACTGACATGTTTATCGCATAGTACAGTCCACTATGAAAATTAGCTGTGGTTTGTTTCAACTACCTATTTTAAAAAAAATTGTAACTTTCTAAGTGTTGAATTTTATGGAATTGGGAAAGAAGTACCGAGTTTGAAGCGTTCATGAGCAAACATTGCAGTTGAGTATTCAAGTTCTGAATTTGATTATTGATGAATAATAAAATAAATCCTACTAGCTCGATTGATGGTTTCATTTAATTTATTTAAACCAGGTTACCTATAATAATATTTTTTCGTTAATTTATCAAAATATCAAATTAGCCCGTAATCCTGAATCCTGATACATAAAGTTAGCCTATAAATTTAACACAGGTACGACTGTACTCAGTGTTGCACTATCAAATGCAATTGACGCGCCTCTATGCCAGGGTTTTTATGTTCCTGGTCAGGCTATAACGTTCGAATAATCTGTAGTACTACGCAATTAATGTAAACTATTTCCATATATGACGTCGCTGCTGTCATCATTGCTGTCACGAGCATGTGTTCTGTTTTTGGGCATATTGCTGCGACACAGGCCCCGCCCCCTTGTCACATCTCTCTTTAATTTCTCTGATCTGAGAGTACTTCTCTGGTTGTTGAAAGTACTGAAAATTCTGTGTTTACACTGTGCTCTTTTTTGCATCGCTACGGCATACATTACTCTAAGGCCATGGCTTCCACCAAAACGGAACAGCGGAGAAGTATCGGGCTGTAAAATTTTTGTATAGAATTTGACAGCGTCGGCGGCGCGGAGACGAGAAGTGGAAATAATGAAATCTGATTGATTATTCAAAACACTTCTCTGCTCCGCTCCGGGCCTATACAATTTTAAACCAATTATATTAAATTTTAAATCAATTTGTAAGCAAAATAAAATTGGTCATAATGATTTCAAAGCTTGCAAAGTTCAAAACTAATTAGCACGTGCACATCCCAAACAAGTTAAACGTTTACCCAACTGCGCCAGAAGGAGGATTTTTCGATGTTAGTTTGTGAGACTTCATTAAAACGTAATAAAGTAGCGACGTGAGAAGGTAATTATCCTCGAACGGTGTTCTAAAACGATACTTCAGTAACAGGTCTAAAGTGCTAGAAGAGACCAAAGACTTTAAGAAAACCTTAACAAAAATGTTAACAGCAATGTGTTCCGGCAGTTGCAGGTAAGACAGCTGGTTCCTCTGTGGTTGAGGATTCCAGGTGAAGAAAGATCATCACAGATCACAGATTTATGTATGAATGTAAAAGTACATAAAAGAAATTGTAGATATATGTAATTAAGATAAGTACCTACCTACTATTGTCTACGTTATTATTATGTCGGTTAAAAAATCATTAATATTGTATTGCTTATTAGTGATCGATCGATGAACTAAAATACAGCAGGGTTTAATGCGCGCATCTTGGTCATAGTCATAGTTATTTATTCCATAAACAAAACCTATTATGACTAATAGTAAAATATTACTAACCTCGTATTAGATAATATAATCAAAATATTTATCATTAAAATAGACCCAAAATCCTTCAAATTTCAACTGTGTCACATCTAGAAAGCTATAACAATACACGTGTATACTCATTACTTCCGTATCCGATGTCATTTCCTGTTCACGTAAACTTTTAAGCTCATATCCTATCCAAAGATACTCCTGCCTGAATTTCCCTGCAACTTCTATGTAGCCAGGATCTACAGCTACCTGTTATACAGGGTGTATGGGAATATGAGCCGATACTAGCCCATGTTAACATGGGCATATAAACGGTATGGTGAAGTCAGAAATTTGATATCATCATTTTAATTGTCGGCCGTTTGGTGTAGTGGTTTCGGAACGGACTACTATGCCGAGAGGTCCCGGGTTCGATTCCCGGCCGGGCAGAAATAGAAATGATGAATTTTAATTTCTGTGTCGGGTCTGGATGTTACTATGTATAATATGTATGTATTTACAAAAAAAAAGTATTTAAGTATGTTTATATCCGTTGTCTAGTACCCATAGTACAAGCTTTGCTTAGTTTGGGACTAGAAGCGTAGTGTAAAATGTCCAAGGATATTTATTTATTTATTTATTATTTATTTATTTATTTAATTTTTTTAATTTTCATACAAAATATATTTATAAAATCCGATTTGTATGAAAATTAAAATAATTAAAATGAAGGTAAATGGGTATATACCCATATAAACCCATACCTAACACCCTGTATAAACCCAACCAGTGAAGGCCAAGGTTATCCCAAGGGAAACGAGACTATTCCCACCTCTCGTTCCCACCGCTGCGACTCCTGTGTAGCCAGGATCTACAGCTTGACCGCCAATAACCCAACCAGTGAAGGCCAAGTTTGTCCCCGGGGAAAGTTAAACTGTCATTGGACCCGCCACAAAATTAACTTAAATTAATAATAACCAATCGATTGACACCTTAACAATCAAAATCAAATGAATAGTACCTATTTATTATAAACAAACACACATAACTTAAATTGCTAGCTAAAATCATAACCCTAATTATACATTCAACACCTTCCTGCCTCGCGCATGCCGTAGTTAAAACAAACAATTCCAAGAATTATAATTACTCCAATTTAAACAAGTTCAAAACAGGTCCGGGAATCGTCTTGTAGCTGTGTTTGTAGTCATCCTATTGTTAATTAGTTAATAGTATTTCATTTAGGGTGGATTCGACCAAACAAGAGTAAATATTAATCTCAAAATAAATCGTCAGTTATTCGACATTTTGACATATTATTTTCCACACTGAAACTGTCAATTATGTGCCAGTTATACCAGGAGTTATTCTCGGATAAAAGTTGACAAATCGAGCCTTAGTTATACTTTTCTTTGTTTTTAAGTAACTTAATATTTTTCACAACAAATAATTTAATAATTGGTTTGGCCAACTTTGTGTGAATATCTACGGCTGGGTTGCACTGTCTTATTTTAACCTTATCAAACGTCAAAACTCCATACAAAGAGCACCGGTTATCGTCAAAGTTACGGTCAAAGTTAGGTGGTGCAACTCAGCCTAACTGTGGAACTGTGTGGTTTGTGTTATTTCATTGCGCCTATTTTAAATTATGACGTAACTGTATATGAGTAAACCTTACTTTTGAACCACTCTATCTCTTCCTGAAAACTGTATTAAAATCCGTAGTTTAAAAGATGTAAGCATTAAACAATGTAAAACTCAAAACTAATAAAAACTAATTTTATTTTTGCAAGTAGGCTTTAAAAAAGCACTTTTACACGTCCCAGTATTAACCCTACCACTGCTTCGGGACAATAAATGGGCCAGTGCTGAGAAGAAGCAGCGCAAGAAACTCACGCACGTATTCACAAACATTATATTAGATCACACAGTGCGCGTGGACGCACAGGGTGACACACGAACCAGTACAGAGCTCTATTCAACGCTGTGCGTTCGATATTCTGCTTCACTTAAGCAAGCATCGTTTGTGAATACGGATGTCAGTAATAATTGTCAGCCAAAGAAGCTTATTACAATAAACAAGAGCTAAATTAAACCGAGTACCCAACGTTGATTTTTAACTTTACAACGTCTAAATTGGAACCATCCGACTTAGCAGTGCTCACAAATTGGCCCCGCAGGGACTAGACTCGACTTAAAACAGAAACAATCTCTCAACAATCCATTTTTCTTAGCGAATTGAAATTTTTCACCCTATATTAGACTCTGGGGGCCTTTTGGAAATGATAACGTTTTAAGAAAATGTGGATTCATAAACAGTAATTAGGAAAGGAATCAGCTGTGCTAGGGTTGATTTAGTGGACGTATCAATTTTGAGTTTATTTTTGAAATAGCTTCTGCTTTTTTCGCTCGCATAGATGTTGATCGTTGTTTTCACAAATTCATGGGTTTCTTGTTTTCATTTTCGATCGCCTGAATGTTGGTCTATCACGGATTTATTTATGTTTTTTAGCTTTAAAAAAATAAAAAGATAGTGTTTAATTGTTAATTTTTTTTAGCTTTTTAAGATAATGTTTAAAAAATAGCCCCAAAAATAATGCACGACAAATCTGTTAAAGTGGGATCTATTTTTAAAAACTCATTCAATATTATGTTTTTTAAATACCTAACGTAATGATAGTAACATACACGTGATTTCGACTTATAAAATCAATAATATATGTATGTATGATCCTGAAAATCTTTTAACGGAAAAGGTGCCATTGTCCCATTTTCATTTGAAAACTTTAGGCTCAGTTGCACCACCTTACTTTAAACACTGGTGTTTTTTGGATGGATTTGACGTTTGTTAAAGTAGGATATTTCAACCCAGCCTTATTGATAATCTTATGTCAAACAAAAAAGGAACTCACCCAGAAAGGCACCAGTCCTTTCGCCTTGTCACTGATGATGGCCTCCTCCAGCTTCGCTCCTCGCATGCTCTGGTTCTCATCAGACTCAATGTACCTCATCCTGACCAGACCTGGGTAGAAAATGACATTTATGTACTTCATTCTTTATGGAGTGTTGAAGCCACAATAGCCGAACGGTGAAGGGGTCGGACTGGCCGACTCGAAATCCGAGGAACGCGAGTTCGAAGCCCACCGCTCGACAATTGTAGTGAGCCCGACGGAGCATATTAAGCTTACAACGAGGGGCTAACGGGACTATTAGTGATTTGTGCAAAACAAATTACTGTTATTCTTAAAAAAAAACTATACTGTGAGCTCTTAAACTGACTCGTATCACATAGCTCGTAGAGCTGATGGCCTTAGGGGCAAAAAAGTTTTCGAGTGGCGACCACGGGCCGGGAGACTTAGTGTGGGCAGGCCTTCCACTATGTGGACCGACGATCTGCTAAAGGTCGCAGGAGGTACCTGGATGCGGGCAGCGCAGGACCGTTGTTGTGGAAATCCTTGAGGGAGTAGAGGGAGGCTTTTTTCCAGCAGTGGACGTCATTTAGTTGAAACTGACCTTGCAGAACTTAAAAGAAGAACTACCACTCACCAATCAGTCCAGCCTTCTCCACCGAAGAATGGGCCTGGTCTGAGCAGTAGCAGATCAGGTGTCCCAGCAGTTCTGAGGACTGGAGGTCGGAGTTCAGCTCGGCTAGTTCCATTAGGGCCCGAGTTCTTGCTGCCAGCAGACTAACGAGGGTCGCTTCGCTGGCAGTTGTCTGTGGAAGAAGATTGAGTTAGGGAGATGCCACACAGTGCGGTGCGGTCGCGGCGCCGGAGCGGTGCCGCTGCGGCGTATAAAAATCAATGATATGCCAGACGGTGCGTTCCGTCGCCGCATCGCAGGTACACCCCGCACTTCGATTGAGCGAGACGGTGCCCTTGCAGCGCCGCATACCACCATGTGTGCAGTGATGCGACAAAATGTGTGTGGTGCGGCGCCGCACCGTGTGACTTCTCCCTTAGGATGTGCTTTTATGACCGATGTGATGGTTTTATTGTTAAAGTAAACAGTGGTTTGTCCTGTATAATAAATTTTGTACCTAACCTTTAAAATTGACATGAATACCGACTTATTTACTAACTAGCGGCCGCCCGCGACTTCGTACGCGTGGATCCCGTTTTACCCCCTTCATCTATCTTACGCGGTTTAGATTTCTTCATACAAATGTTTTTTCCCGTTAACTCCCGTTCCCGTGGGAATTTTACAATATCTTGTTGTAACTAAGCTTTACGTTTACTTTAAGGTACCTGCATGCCAAATTTCAAGCGTCTAACTTAAGCGGTTTAGATTTTTCATACAAAAGGATTTTCCCGCTAATTCCCGTTCCCGTGGGAATTCCTAAGTATACTATAACCTGCCCAGGAGTATGAAGAATAATTGTACCAAGTTTCGTTAAAATCCGTCAAGCAGTTTTTGTTTCTATAAGGAACATACAGACAGACAGACAGACAGACAGACGGACAGACAGACAGACAGACAAAAATTTTACTGATTGCATTTTTGGTATCAGTATCGATCACTAATCACCCCCTGATAGTTATTTTGAAAATATATTTCATGTACAGAATTGACCTCTCTACAGATTTATTATAAGTATAATAAATCAAAAAGTTTTAAATGAAGTAAGGTTCAATGAGTTCAAAAGTTAAAACCAACAGTTTAGGGTAAGGGCTGAATTGTATTATTAAAAGGAATTTACGTCCTTTAAATCATTTGTTTCCCCAAAAGTCGTATTCAGACGACTAAAAATGTTTAAGGTAAGGGACATTTTTTTAAAGATATCAACATTTCAAGTATACCAATCGATAGAGCCGAAAATTCTGAATGCGTTGGTATATATAACTCATTTTGGCCAAAATGTCCCTTACATTAATTGATACTTCCACTATCGATGTATTATTAATTAAATTCAATTGACACTAAAAGTTATTAATTAAAACCAAAATGTAATTTATTAATTTTTAATGTTATAAATATAATGTTAACAATATTTGCATGCCAGCTTCTGGTGGACTGTGCGGACATTTTAATATTGTAAGAACTTGTAGACCACTTTTCACGCAAATAAACTGATTCGATTTGATTTGATTTGACAGGAGGCCAACGAGCTGACGAATCACCGAATAGTAAATTATTTCCACCGCCCATAGAAGCACGCAGCCCCCGGGGGAGTTACATGTGCATTGACGGCCATTAAGTACGCTCTCTTCTTGAAAGATTGTCGGTCATATCGGTCCAGATATATCACAGACGACAGAGACGATGCTTAGAGCTTTATAAGACGTTTTGAGCCAAACATCAGCCGTGCGTTTGCAGGATCGCACACGCAAAATAGTAGAAAAGCTTAAAATAGTAAAAATTAAAACGGTAATTTTCTGTAGTGATAAAAATGCGAATCTCTCGTAGTCACCATCATAAAGGTCATAGCAAACGTATCAACTTGGAAAGGGTCTCTCAACTGCAAGACGATGCGATTACGTTACCGTGAGGATAACTGTGCGTTGCAGTATGGAGTTTCATACAAAGAATACTGACCGCCTCGAGTTGATACTGTTACGATCCCTTAACCGCATCACACACTTAACCGTACCGTAACGTAAACGCCTCGCTCCACGGTTGACATTGCACGAAAGGCGATGACAGTTCGCGAAAAGCGATACGGTGTCGATCCCTTTCCGAGTTGATAAGTCTGCTATGACCTTTAAACAGCTGTTTCACTATCTTAACGCGAATGAACTATAGTAACTAATTTTAATTTATTGGACCAAAATAGATGTAACAAACAATAACTTAATGCAAATAAATATTTAACAGAACTCAAAGTTATCATGGACAGATGGTGGAAAGATACAAACTTCTGTTCGGAGGTAATGAACTGATTTAACAATCTGCGCTCTGATCTACGTTTAGGCGTTTTAATTTGACAATAGAATTGACTTCTATAAGTATTTTAAATAATAAAATACTACATTCGTAACTACTATTATAATCAAGCATAATATTTGCTAGTTTTTTGCGTATATAGTATACACTAACTAAACTTGCGCAAAATTACATAGCACGAATGGAAACTTGCGCGAAAAGATAGAAGTGCGAATGGATACTTGCGCGAAAAGTCGCTTGCGTGAAAGACACCGCTAAAAACATTTATGCGCGAACGATTGTTTCCCGAAAAAGTATATCGTGCAATATTTGTCAAAAAGTTCGGGCAAAAGCTAGTAGTTACGTGTATGGTTTCAAATAAGAGCCAAATCACACGATGCGTTGCGGCGCCGCACCACAAAACGCGCGATGCGGCGACGCACCGCTCGTATGCCCGCCACAGATATTTCTATGTAAGACGACGCATCGACACCGCTCCGGCGTCGCACTGCCACCGCAACGGATCGTGTGCTTTGGCTTTAATGCACAATTTCATCAACTCAAAATTTGTATCCAGTGGGACTCAAACCTGCGCCGTTATGTCTTACCTGAATGACTCCACCACCAGGGCTATCGTTCTTCTCGTTGAGGAAGCATTCCGGCAGACCCAGCACCTTGCCCAGCCAGTTCATTGCGATGGTCTCCAGTTCAGTTCCCGCTGGTGACGACGCCTAGGTGGATAGAAGAATAGTATTTACTTATTGGAGACCTCACGAAATGTCCTCATTGCAAAAAATAGGTCTGATTAGTAGGAAGTGATTTCTTTCGAATAGCTTACGCCCGGTTCACACATGTCTCCGTTTTACTGTTCCGTTCAAATTCAAATTCAAATTCAAACGTTTATTGCATGTCACATTACAATTTATATGTTGTTGCAAAATAGAGGTATACCTACATGTGACGCCCGCCGTTTTATCGAGTACGTTTTTTTTCGTCGATGGCGTATGTAGTTGTATGAGCGACTTCACACATGACACATTATTCTGTATACAGTAATACATACAAAAAACATACACGATAAAACGGAACAGTAAAACGGAGACATGTGTGAACGGGCGTTAGTTGAAGAAACAGTGGTCCAGTATTAAGAAGAGGCAGCGGATGAAACTCAGTAGCTTTAGCCAGCCTAGGGTATGCGAATCACATAAAAATAAATTATCTAATCATCCAGTGCCCTCTTTCAATATTTTATAATGTTGAAGTTACTGAAAACGTTTTAAAAATACAGAACCCCAGTTTAGTATGGGCTCGTGCTGTGTGACAATTAACGCTGTACCTCTGACACGTATAATTTGAATTCGATCGAATAAGCTTTAAACAGCATCTTTTTTTATGCAAACGAGCAAACGGATCACCTGATGGTAAGTGATTACCGTCGCCCATAGACACCCGCAGTCCCAGGGGCGTTACAGGTGCGTTGCCAGCCTTTAAAGTGAAGATACGATCTCTTCTTGAAACTTCTTCTATCCTACTATCCCTTTTACAAACCTTAAGAATTCTGAGGACTTACCCAAGTAAAGCACAGTACGTTCAGAGCGCTGGACAGCATGTCCCCCATGATGGAAGGGTACGAGGTCAGAGCCGGGAAGTAGGCGTGCATGTGTGGGCTCTGCCAGTGGACCAGCTGTGGGAAAAGCTTATTTGTTAATTCCTTCATCATTAGGTAAATTAAAACAGGGCCCGACCGTGGAATGAGCGAGGTAATTTGCTCCGCTAGCCTCTTTTTCGGTCGAGCCTCAACTATGAAAATTATCGTTGCTTTAGTCTGGTCTGCGAGCACGTAGAATTTTGTCCAATGACCCCAAGCTACCCATCCTTATCGCTCGCGCGTAATGATGTTGCTGTCGCGCTCGCACACTCACTGCGGCCGCCCGTCGCACAGTCGCGACAGCAATATAATTACACGCGAGCGATAAGGATGGGTTGCTTGCGGTCATTGGACAAAATTCTACGTGCTCACAGACCGGGCTTTAGTTGTGAGGGCCTCGCTCATTTTACGGTCAAACCCTGGTTTAAATCTTCAGTCTCCACTGCAGGAGAACGACCCTCTTCAATATGTAAATGAAGGATTTGGTCTACACTCCTCACGCTGGCCAGACGGGTTGGAAAGGCCTGACGCATGCATATTTTATCACTTGGTCACATTATAAAAAAAATCGCTAGTAATCAAACTCAAGTCTAAAATTAGCATTCTCTGTCTGAACCACTATAACAAAAGATGAGTATCTTCTTCTTGATACATAGCCCAGCCATGATTATGCTCCTCTTCATTCATAAAGTTAAATGAAAATTTTTCTTAGATTTGAGATCAAACGCAGGTCGCTACGATCAGATTCTTAAGATTGTCTTCAAGACTTTTTTAATGGTTCACATTAAAGAAGCAAGCAAAAAAGATACTTACCCCAGGCATGATGTGCTCATCTACATCCTTGAAGATGTCGTCCCACTTCTCCGGCGCATGAGGGGCTTCCTTCGGCAGCAGCTTGTGGAGGTACCCTGGCTGTACCCCAGGGTACACGCGGCGGTCGCGGATGTTCTCCAGGTAGTCCGCTATGTAGTCCACCATCTCTTTGGCTGGTGGCAAGGAGATAGTTAAATATGGGATTCAAAATTGAAAAAGTCATAAAACTAAGCCTAGGCGCAGACCATAGATTTTTCGTCGGCCGATAGTTTAGTGGGGCAGTTGATCAGTATGGGCATTGTTGGCGACAGACCTTTTTTATATGCGTTTTTTGTATTTTTTCTTTTGGAATGTTTTTTATATTTTGACGCTTTGTTTTTTTACTTTTTTACTTCAGTTGTTCATTAAACACCATTAGACAAAGACGTGTTTCAATATAGTAAAAAGTGAACATCTCCAAATCAATTAAATATATTATATAGGTATAGTAACGGGCACACCCGGTGCCCAACAAATGGTCCTTCGCGGTAAGTACTAGCTTATTTACTTTATAGTGTTGCCTTCAATTTTCCCTATTATGCTTACTAGAAGCAAGAGGAAAATGGCTGAGCAAAGTGAGCAACCTACCGCTACTACTATGGAACCAATGAGTTCATGTTCGTCATCGGCTTTGCCGCAATTGCCCCACACGACACAACCATCATCCGCCTCGTGCCCTTCGGGCCGCTCAGGCCGTTCTAGCCGTTCCAGCGCCACCGTGGTGGCGCAGAAGCTCGCGGCGCAGGCCGAGCACGCACGCCGCGTCGCCGAGCTCGAGCGCGCTGTGGCGGAAAAGGAGCGCGCTGTGGCGGAAAAGGAGCGCGCCGTGTTGGAGAAGGAGCGAGTTGCAGCTGATTTGGAACTGCAAGCCGAACTAGCTGCGATCGATGCGCATAGTGGTTCTAGTAGCCGGTACAGTAGAACAGCTGATTGGGTGGCTTCATGTAACAATGATCCTAATTTGCAGGTGCCTATGCTCGTCAATGACGATGACAAAGAATATGTGCGTAAACCGTCAGTGTCGGTACCCTTGGCGGTACTATTTCCCGGCGCTGCTACCACGGATGCGTCTTCATCGTCAGTGGCTTTCCCAACGCCGCACCAAGGGCAGCCGTCGCTTATTGAGGCAACGACAAGCGTTGCCGCGCCGGCTACCGTGCGGCCGGAGCCGCCCGCGCCTGCCGGACCTGCCCCAGCTAAGCCGCTACGTCAGCCTCAAGCATTACCTACTAGACATGCACATTACTTAGGTTTAGGTACACATACACAACGCGATTTATGTAACAATTTTAATAAAGTTGCTATTAGCCAGGATACACCTACTGATATACAACAATTAGCTGAAGCCATCACGAGCCTGGGCGCGTCGAAGCAGCAGTCGCCTCGGGTGAGTGACCTAAAGCTTCCTTTGTTTGATGGGCGAATCCAGGACTGGCTACTATTTAAACGTACGTTTGATCTAACCAAAGCTGGGTTTTCTCCGCTAGAAAACCAAGCTCGGCTAAATTTTGCTTTGCGAGGCGTTGCTAGAGACGAAGTAGGCGCGCTTCTAGCCTCTGCGCGAGACCCAGACGTGGTCATGAGCGCCTTGGAGGCTAGATTCGGCCGCCCCGAGCATATTGTGTTGAACGAGATAGCCCAGGTCAAGGCTTTGCCCAGGCTTAGTAGCATTGATGGTGGTAGGGAAATGTGCCAATTTGCCTGTCGAGTCCGCCGGTGCGTAACTTGCACAACAGTTTTGGTTTCCTCCAATAGCACGCTACTTCGGTACAAGCGGGATCTTCACTACGTCTATACATATAACCTTAAAACCAATTAATGCCATTGTATGTTTGCATTCTTCATTGCTTGCTGCACAAACTCCGCATTCCAGATTTTCCAATTTATTCGTTATCTTCAGCACAAACAAATGTACAATGATATGCCGTAGCTCTAACTTTGTGTTCAGGTGTAGTAACTCTTGTTTTTACTGTACACTGCGGATATAGTCTTTTCAAATGAACTTACCCTACGAGTATTACATTATGTCCATAATTCGATAGTTGGATAGTTAGTCTATAACACGACTGGACGTGATCGTCCAACTCTGTAAAAATAAAATATTAAGACATAACGTTGCTAAATTATTGATGGGTATTATTTTTTATCGATAACCCACAGCAATCTGACTGACAGCACTAGTACTTTTACTTTTAAACTAGATAGAACTTTTATAATCTACCTCAAATACTACAAAAAGCGTAAATACTAAATACTCGATTATTTATTGCATCCATAATAATTATAATAGGTTCACTTACCTTGCAAGTTTTAGCACTTGGATTTCTGCAATAATATAGGTACTTTGCATGTTTTCTGAAAGTATCCGCAACCATAAGTAAATCTACTTTCGGAAGATTATTTGGTTGGCATCAGATACGGTTAATATAAATAAAAAATGTATCGAAATGAACGAAAATAAGTTTACAGAGCGCAGCTAGCACCCGCGCCGCCCGTCCGTCGTTGCCCAACGAGCGGTGTGACGTCATCGCCCGTATTCCAGGGGTGCTATCAGTTTTCGCGCGTTCCCATATTGATTTGCTTATAAAATATTCAATTTTCGTGATATCAACAAAATTTTTTCACAGTTAGTCTTATTTTAGCTTAAAGTTTTTGTTAGGGCTGAAAAAGGGGAATAAATTTTGATTTACATCTTCCTCATTATGGACACCTGTCAAAATGAAAGCAGCCCACTGACCTCAGCAGTCAAGTTGGAACTGGAAGTTGCTTACATTTGAATAAGTAAGTTGTTCATTTGTTTAGGTATGTTTTTAATGTCATCATCATTATTGCGGTGGTAAGTACTGTTTTATTTATCCTGTAATGGTTTGGATAAGTGTTTTTCTTTGCATCAGCTTTCAATTTAAGATTTCAAACTTTCGCGTTCCATTTCAACTAAAATAGTAAGACACGGGTCTTAACGCGACGTTTATTAACCCATTTAGAGTTCAGTTACATCATGTACCTACTCTCGGCTTTCAATTTGACTTTTGGGTCAAGTTAATCTGACTGTTTGAAAAAGGTTCGTATCACCTGGCACATTAGATGGTCCCTTAACACCATATTAGACCCTTCAGCTAGATCATTATAATGGTTGTCATCTCATTTGTCACGTAGTTGTAAAAGTTTTTTAATTTATCTGCTGTATGTCACATAAAAATCACGAAAAACTTTGATAGAGTTCACCACACATGAAAGAGACACATGCGACACAACTGGTAGGCATTACGTAATTGTTTTCTTACTATTATTGACTTAGCACTAAGCGCTAATGCAGTAGTGCAAACCGCAAAGCACTGGTGGCGTTGCTCATGCGAGCCGCAAAGGGTTTACTTATACCGCAGTATTAAGTCAAGAAGTGGTGACAAATAATGAAAATAATAAGTAAAATAATACAATTTTACAATATAATAAGTAAGTACTAGGTACATTGACGATTTGGTAAAGGTTGAGAATTTAGCTAATACGCTAAAGCTCGCGTACTGTACAATCACTTTTTTGCATGAGCTTTGTGATGATAAGGATCGCCGCGGGTTCAAGATTGTAAGCTGCTATCCTCTGGGACTACTTAACCTTTACGGGTAGGATTTCGTTAGAGGCCAAAATGTAAAAACTGGCTATGTACAAGAGTTCCAGTGGTGACAAAGAGAGGTGGGATTAGTCTCTTACTAACATACGAGTAAGGTGCCAAATAAGTAGGTAGTATCCTTAATTTATCTATAACTAAGCGAACATCGTCCACCCAGCATCGTCCTGCAGTGAAGAATAATTGACCTGATGATGCTGATAATTTATTACCATTGGTAAATGAATAAAATTACAACTTTTTAAGTACTTTAAATACTGCTCACAAACAAGACACAAATGTGCAATACCATCAACAGTTAAACTGTTAAACAGACAGAAACTACATTAAAACATTGTGATCATAATTATTGTCAGTAAAAAACTAGGAAGAGGTATTTTATAGGTAATCATCAGACATTTATTACGGAGAAGTGCCATGTGTATGCTAATTCCAACGTGAATTAAGGTGTGGCGTGTTCTCAATGACTAAGGGATAGAATCGTAGAACCAATCCATTAAACTAAATTACATATTTGCGCATCATAAGTTACAATCTATCATTATGAATACGCATTGATTTAAGTACTTATTATGTCCGACAGTACCTACCTCAGACTGTAGGTGCAAATAGCATAGCTTAAAGGTCATAGCAGACTTATCAACTCGGAAAGAGATCAACACCGTATCGCCTTTCGCGAGCTGTCATCGCCATTCGCGCACTGTCAACGTGACGCGAGGGGATTAGAATACGATGCGGATAAGTATGAACTTTCATACAAAGAACACCGACCGCCTCGAGTTGATACGGTTACGATCCCTTTCCGGGTTGATAAGTGTGCTACGTCCTTTATACGACAGTGTTTAATTTGATATTATGTAGTCGTTCGTACCAGATACAAGGTGTAAGGCACGCGCAAGTAAACTATAAAACGCAAAATCATACCATTAAAGTGTTTGAAAAATTATTTTTTTCCCATTTCTAAAATGTGTTTAATTTTTTCCTATGTTATGTGTTTATACTACCTACTCTGTTATGTGTCTGTGTATTTTGAAAATGCAATTATTCTGTCACAGAATATTTTGTATTGCATCTTAATGTGGTTTTTGAGGTACTCAGTCAGTTACTTCAAAAACCACAGCCTACTGCCTTGTATCTACAAAATGATTTTGAAAAACAAAACTATCTGGTATGCTTGCAGCGTGTTTTTGTTTTAGTTAGTAAGAAAATAAACGTATAATTAAAGGTCAGCTTTCATATCCGAATTAAATAGCTTGAAACCAGCTGTGTAAGTTTCGAGTCCCATGGGGTCAAATGATAATGAGATGAGTACGTGCACTTTTATTTTAAATCAATCCAATGGCTCTCTGCAACCATAAACACATCGTCCATATCAAGCAGGTTGTATAAATTATTTATCTACGAGTATTAAATATTTTCTTTGAAGTATAAAGTACATTATGTGCTTATACACGTGTACGATAGTGTTTTCCATGTTCATAAACATTATATTGAATCTTAATGACTTTC